GCCTGGTTCCTGATCACCTGATTGCTGTGATAGCGTTTGATCAGCCCACCCCACCAAAAGAAAAAGACTCTGCAACTACTTCCTGTTTACATTCATGTGCACATTATTGCTCAGGGCTAAGCTTGCTGTGGATGACAACAGTGAGACATGCCTGCACTGCATATCATAACTGCTTATTGTCTTGCATAGGTGACAATACAGAAGAGCAACTGGGAGACAGGGACAAAGTGTGGTCACCCTATAACAGGAAGTACTTGAACAAGGGCTTCCATGGCAGGATCGTCAGGTATTATTTTAAGGAAAACTGTAGATTTAAATGAATATAAAATTACATGAACGTGGTAAATATTTTGTGAGATTTTAGTGATTGGGCTTCCATCTGGGTTAAAGAAGATCTTAATTTTCATGTGTATCTTACATATTCATTCAAGATAGATATCTGGAAAAATTCAATCCAGACAATCTACTTTTCTGAAAGCAATTAATTATCATTCATTAAGATCTGTCATGTTTTTTCACGCATCATACGCATGCTGTCAATCTACAGATTGTCCGTATGGTATCCTTAGCCTTTCATGTAATGTCTATGGATGCCTTAAGGGTAAAGGCAGATTAACTTGTTGGCACCCTGCAGCTTTCTTGATTGAAGATCACAGCAGGATTTCTCTATGCTGACATAGCTTTTATCATTTCAGTTTAAGGAAAGTGTGCTGCAAGCTTCAGTTACAAATATCACAACATGTAAAATGCTCGTTTGACATTGCCCATATTCTTTACTGCTTTCTAGTAGTGATGGTCCAAACATCCTCCTATTCAGTCTGCAGTCAAACATTCAAACCTAATGAATGTTCGATTTCGAACTTCAAACTTAATGCAAGTCTATGGGACTCGAACTTGTAAATTCAAAAGTGCCCATTTTGAAGGCTTATATGCAAGTTATTGGCCATAAAAGGGGTTTGGGGACTTGGATACTGCCCTGAAGGACAAAAATCAGTGAAAAAAGATTTCAAAAAGTACAATTTTTAAAGCGAAAATTATTTTTCATTGCTTAAAGTAAAAAAAAAGAAAAAAGAAAAATTCCTTTAAATATCATACCTGGGGGGTCCCCTTAAACTACCTGCAAAGTTGTACATCTGTACAATGTATAGAACCTGCTGCAGTAGGACTGAATTTTTTTTTTATTTAAAAAAAAAACAAAACAGTGTGGGTTACCCCCGAATCCATACCATACCCTTTAGGTCTGATAGGAAGATTAAGAGGGAAAACAAGCATGGGGTCCCCCTAAATTCCAGCCAGACCCTTGATCCGAGCACATATTTGGAAGACAGGAAGGGGGGGTGAATGAGAACCCCCCCTCCCTGCAACTTAACAGGCCAAATGTCCTGCATTGCTTATGGGGACAAGGGCCTCTTCCCCATAACCCTGGGCCGATGGTTGTGGGGGTCTGCAGGTAGGGGGGTTCATTAGCATTAGGTTACCCCTTTAATTAAGGGGCACTCTGATGCTGCCTCCCCTTATGAATGAATAAGGGGTACTTGTACCCTACTCATTCACTAAAGGGTTAAATTGTGAGAAAAAACACATAAAACTTTTGAAAAAAATAAAAAAAAACAGTTTTTGACCTTTATTAACCCCTTCACGCCTAAGGGTAAAACAAATCTAAATGCCTGAGCACAATTCTGCAACGTTGACATGTGTTAGTAAAACCGTACATATCATCACAACTACTTTGTACATCCAGGTGAAATATACCTTGTTTTTTTTCAGAACAAATTGGGCTTTCATTTGGTGGTAAATGGTAATGGATAGCTCCTAATTTTTTTTTTTATTAAAGGAAAACTGGGCCAAAATAGTAAAAAAAAAATCATTTTTTTAAATTTAACTGTGTGTTTCTTGTTACGACCATAACCTACCACCAAAGAACCACCCAAAAAATACATTCTCCAGTTCTTGACGATCGCAGCGATACCACATGTGTGTATGTTATTTGTTATTTGTACCCGTAGTACAGTCCAGAAACAACAGTGCGCATTTTGTTTTTGTCTTTTTTTTTTTTTTTTTTTTTTTACATAAAACACACTGTCACTGACATTGACATTAACACTAACTGACACTGATACCAATTTTTTTTAAAATTCTGACCTTTGACCCTGACCTTTGCCCTTGACCCTGACCTTTGACCCTGACCTTGACCCAAACACTAACCCTGGTACTGAACTAGATCAAATCTTGATCTAGGTATTTTTCTTTATTTTTTATTTTATTTTTTAATATTTATTTATATTTTTTTTTTTTTTTACAAACTTTTTTTTTATCTCTCTATGTCAGGAGTTCGAGAGATACAATGTATCTCTCTTCTCCATTCATAGAGAGAGAGAAAACAAGGGGGCTGGGCTGCACAGTGATTGATCACTGTGATAGCCAATCAGAGGCTATCACAGCGATCACGTGACCCGGAATCGGGAGTCCCGGGTCCCGATCGTTAGAACGGGACCCCGGGCTCTCAGTGACACCGCGGTCTTGGTGCTAGGCGCGCTCCCAGCACAAAGACAGGTACGCAAATATGCGGCCCCACGGAAAAAAGCCCAGGTCCGTGAGGCCGCATATTTGTGTTACGTCGGCATCAAGGGGTTAAAGTCCTTTATTAAAAAAAAAAAAAGGCAAAAAAATGGTTCTATCATTGTGACGCATAGTCAATCAGGGCATCCAGTATTGTCATTGTCATGATGATTGCTACTCGCCAAAATAAAATTAAAACCCAACGTCAACCCACCAACCTGTCTACACAATCGCCAAGCACTTGTCGCAATCTGACAGGTCTGACAATTGCCATTCAGATGTAAACAGTTGGGTGGGGGGCTCCACCCAATTGTGGTGTGATTGGCCAAAGCATTGCACCTGACCTGTGCTCAGGTGCATTGCTTTAAGCAATCACAATGCACTGTGAGAATGCAGTGCATTGTGGGGTGTGATTGGCTAACAGCCACCTATTGCCCTTATTGTTCTTGTGTTCGCCGAACACATGAACGGCCAATGTTCGAGCCAAACTTACATTCAACTCAAACATTAAGGCCAACACTACTTTCTAGACTCATTGAACCAATCCCAATGCAATCTCTGGGTATAATCTGACATATCTGGGTTTGTTATCATGAATTCCAACCTGGGCCACATCCTAATTAGTGATAGGTGAATCACCAATGGTGAACATGTCCAAAAATCCACAATTTACAAATTTTAATGCAAACTCCATTGAAGTCAATGGGAGGCCAATCTTAAAAAGCTATTTCCTCCATTTTCAAAACTAATATACCCATGCATCACTTTCCATTAGAAAGACTTATCTTTTCATAGACTTTACATTGGAAAATTAATACCCGGAGGACTCTAATGCCTTACCCTCCCTCCCACCCTCTTTCATACCCACCTCATTTTCCTAATTTCTGATTATCCCTTTATCCCCTCCAGTTTACCCCTGCACTTTCATGCTGCCATAGGTTGCATACTTTTCTCATTTATTAATTACTGTATTATAGACTTTGTACTGCAGTTTTTTTAAGTTCTGTGCACAACTGGAGCTGGATTCTCTTTGTGGTCTATTGCGGTAGAGAAACACAGACTGTGTGTGCTGTATGTCCACATCCCAGGAAATCATGGACAACTGGTAACAGAATATGTAGTCATGGACTTTGTGTGGACATGTAGAAGAGAAACTTTATTATGTACCATTAAAAATCTATTACACAACATTAAAAATGACACATTTGGGAATCCTTCTTCAGGAGCACATGTGACAGAAACAGTAATATAAGCCAGCATGTATACTAGAATTCATAGCCTGTGCATTTTGCCCATAGAGATGCAAATGAGTAAGCCAAGATGAAGCCACTGCCTCTTGAGTGGAAAATTCAGGTTTATTCAGTAAACAGCTAATGGTCTTGTACACATAATATTAAAATAGAAGGACCTACTTCCCAATGGGGAACCATCAAGACCCAATATAAGTAAGTCACCATAAAGACAGCATGGTAGTCAAAGAAGTCAATGCACATACAGTATATTCCAAAGAGGGAGGCTTGTCGTGTACCTGACCGAGGGCTGAGGTGATGAGAGGGCTCCCCTTATGGCTAAGTGCAAAGCACCCCTGAAGTTGGTAACCGAAGGTGCAGTGCCCAAAAAAGCATGGGTTGCCAATGATGTAGTTGCTTGGTGATACTCGATGAGATGACATCCATGGGTAGAGAGGGTACAGCAGACTTTCTAGAAGACTGGCGGATCTTGATAGATGGGTGGAGCAGGAAGCGAAGTCAGAAGCCAGAGCCAGGGGTCAAACACAGAGCATCAATCAGGAGCGGAGACAGGAGTGTAGTCAGGAGCAAGCCAGGGTCATGCACAAGTCATTGATCAGGACTAGGCAGGAGCAGATCTAAGAAACAAGCTGGGGTCAGAACCAGGAGAGAAGCAAGAACAGGTCAGGGTCAAGCTGGGTCGGTAATGGGTAATCAACAGGGTAACTCACATAGAAACACAGGAACAGGAGGCTGACGATAATCAAGCAATTATTGTGAGGAGCTACAGTTGGGTGCCAGCAACTGTCGCGCCTATGCGCAAGCACACATTTTTGCACAAATTAACATGGCCATATTAGACATTGGCGCATTTGCCAGGATTTCTTTGCTTTCTTCCCTGACAGGGCTCTTGATAAGTATCTTAAAAAAAAATCAATTCACATCAATTCAGCTTGTTCATTGTTGCATATCTTTTTGTGATCTATAGTTGCAGTTGAATATACAGTATATACAGGTATACACTATATTGACAAATGTATTAGGAAACCCCTCCAAATCATTCAGGTGTTCCAATCACCTCCATGGCCACAAGTGTATAAAATCAAGCACCTAGGCAAGCAGACTGCTTCTACAAACATTTGTGAAAGAATGGGTCACTCTCAGGAGCTCAGTGAATTTAAGTGTGGTACTGTGATAGGTTGCAACCTGTGCAATAAGTCCATCCGTGAAATTTCGCTGCTACTAAATCTTCCAAAGTCAACTGTTAATGGTGTTATAACAAAGTGGAAGCAACTGGGAACAACAGCAACTCAGCCATAAAGTGGTAGGCAACGTAAAATGACAGAGCGGGGTCAGCGCATGCAGTGTGCAGAAGTCGCCAACTGTCTACAGAGTCAATGGCTAAAGACCTCAAAACTTTGTGTGGCCTTCAGATTAGCACAACAATGCATACAGAGCTTCATGGAATGGGTTTCCATGGCAAAGTAGCTGCATCCAAGCCTTACATCACCAAGTGCAATGCAAAGTTTTGGATGCAGTGCTGTAAAGCATGCTGCCACTGAACTAGAGAGCAGTGGAGACATGTTCTCTGGAGTGACAAATCATGCTTCTCTGTCTGGCAATCGGATGGCCGTGTCTGGGTTTGGCAGTTGTCAGGAGAACAGTACTTTCCTGACTGCATTGCGCCAAGTGTAAAGTTTGGTGGAGGGGGGATTATGGTGGGGGGTTCTTTTTCAGGGGTTTGGCTTGGCCCCTTAGTTCCAGTGAAGGGAACTCTTAAGGCATCAACACTCCAAGACATTTTGGACAATTTCATGCTCCTTCCTGTTCCAACCTGACTGCACACCAGTGCACAAAACAAGGTCCATAAAGACATGGATGAGCAAGTTTGGGGTGGAGGAACTTGACTGGCCTGCACAGAGTCCTGACCTTAACCCAATAGAACACCTTTGGGATGAATTAGAGCGGAGACTGTGAGCCAGGCCTTCTTGTCCGACATCAATACCTGACCTAACAAATGCACTTCTGGAAGAATGGTCGAACGAACATTCCCATAGACACACTCCAAAACCTTGTGGACAGCCTTCCCAGGAGAGTTGAAGCTGTTATAGCTACAAAGGGTGGGCCAACTCAATATTGAACCCTATGGACTAAGACTGGGATGTCATTAAAGTTCATGTGTGTGTAAAGGCATGTGGCCCAATACTTATATCCAGGTCTCTGCCCCCCTCCTCCTATGAGTAGCGCAGAGTTAAACCTCTGAGGACTCTCTTCCCTCTCTCTCCTAGCAACATCAATGGACCAATAAGCAGTTAGGAGGGGAGAACCAGATGTTTCTGGAAAAAGGATTTTCCTCAGAGTGATGTGACAGGACCATATCAAGGAACTCCATCTAACAGAGACAGAGCCTGTGTCAGTGGAACCCAAAACCGTGTGAGACAGCCAGAGGATACAGGGATGAAACTACCTACTAGAGTCGTCGTTAGTGTCTGAGCCATTGAGCACTACCTTACAGCTACCCCATAATTCTAATACTGCATTATTTGACTGCCTCAGTGCTAGCCAACAGGTCCCCCCAGAGTTTAGCTGGCTAAAGAGTAAAAACTAAAGACTACCCCTAACAGTTGCTGCCCTGAGGCCTGGATTTTTTTTTTATTTAACCACTTTCCTACCAGGCACTTATACCCCCTTCCTGCCCAGGCTAATTTTCATCTTTCAGTGCTGTCGCACTTTGAATGACAATTGCGCGGTCATGCAACACTGTACCCATATTTCATTTTTATAATTTTTTTCACACAAATAGAGCTTTCTTTTGGTGGTATTTACTCACCACTGGGTATTTTATTTTTTGCGCTATAAACAAAAAAAGAGAAAAAAGTTTGAAAAAAAATGTTTTTCTTTGTTTCTATTATAAAATTTTGAAAACAGGTAATTTTTCTCTTTCACTGATGTGCCTTGATGAGGCAGCATTGATAGGTGGGCCAAGCTTTTTTTGGAGTTGAGGCACAGAACAGAGAACCCAAAGTTACCCGCTAGGTGGCACTATATGTGTGTGTGTGTATGTGTATATATATATATATATATATACTGTATATATAAAAATATATATATATATATATAAACCAGAGAGTCAAGAGCAAATTTTCAACCTTAGGAGGTCACTACTCACTGCTGCTGATAAACACTGAAGTGTTACAACATTATTTATCCTCCAACTCCAGCATGAACTCTAGTCAGGCATGATTTATAGTGGATAGCACTGAGTTTTGTCTTAATCACAGTTACTTTACCTTTCTTGATCAGTTATACTTACAGATTAACGGCACGGCCATGGGAGCCAATTTTGCTCCAGGATGCGCTAATTTAGCTATGGGCCTATGGGAAGATCAATATGGTCCAATAACCCTTTCACCAAGCATATTATTTTTTATGGACGATACATTGACGATATCCTCCTGATTTGGGATGGCAGTCTGGATCTTTTTTTGTCGTTTGTAACACACTGCAATTCAAACCCTTTTGGTTTTTCTTTTACTCATGTATTTGATCTACATAGTATTGTCTTTTTGGATCTCACCTTGTCAGTAAAGGAGGGGGTTATATGTACCACCAACCATACCAAACTAACAGGTGGGAACTCCTATCTCCACTATTTTAGTTGCCACCACCCTGCCTGGAAGAATAACATCCCCAGTGGCCAATTAAACAGACTTAGGAGAAATTGCTCCAAAGTGAAGGAATATAGAAGACAAGGAGAAATTCTTTCTTCCACATTTTTGGAGAAGGGCTATCCCCCTTCTCTAATAAATAAGGCCTTTTCAAATGGCAATTCAACTAGCGTTAACAACAAAAAATCCAGGCCCTGGTCAGAGCAGAATGCAGTTAGATTTGTTACAGGATACAACATGGCACACCAAAGTATTTGTAAAATTATCTGTAAACATTGTAATATTTTTAACTTGATCCCAAACTTGCTTCAGTTCTCCCTCCAGCCCCCCCAAGTTACCTTCAGAAGAGTACGTACACTTAAGAACATTCTATCCCCAAGTAAGTTAACTACAGGTACCAAAAGAGATATGAACATTTGTTCATATTTTGATGATAGGACTGGCATTTTTAGGTATAAAAAAAGAGGCTGTCTCACCTGTCAATCGATCACACATGGTCATTCAGATGTCACAGATCACAAAGGCAATTTTTTCCAAATCAAACAATTTATTACTTGTGCAACAGATCACGTCATCTACGTGCTTTCATGTCCCTGCAAGCTATTATACATAGGTCGCACCATATGCCCCTTATGCAAGCACATAGGAGAACATCAGGGGTTGATCAAAGATGGTTGTGATAAACACAGTGTTCCCCACCATTTCCTACACACCCATAACAATGACTTTGGGAGGTCATGGCAATTGAACATGTAGAGAAAAGATCCCTGACTGATAATGAGATATTCTCTTTGTTATGCAAAAAGAAGGACCTTTAGGATTTTCAAATTCGGCTCAATGGCCCCAAATGAATTACACAAAGATTTAGCGATCCATAGTATCGTTTAATTATGCTTGTTATTAAAGTTCCATTGGGTATCACTTTTTTCATCATCTTTTAGTCTTTGATGTTCATTTAATGCCTCTATTTGCACATGAATTTTACATTTGTGATTATATGACTTGATATCATGTGTTATTAGCTTTTGACGTTTATGGATTTTTACAATTTTTCATGTTCCTATATCGTGTAATTATTTCTTGTAATTTTTAGATCATTGCACCACATAATAATATTTTTAATATTTATTAATTTATTGTCATTTGTTGTTTACAGGCATTTATCCTTAATGAGGTTAATGTCTTATAATATCATTTTGATCAGCCAAAGTAGTAAGTGCATCCAATTGCTTTTAGCTTTATGATACATGCAATACAGAATACATTTAATAGAATATACATGTTTATATATTTTTAAAACTTTTTAGCAGTATTGGCAAACAAAGTTCATATTTACATTTATTTATATTTTTCTATATGTTGTTGCATCCTTTATAATGTTTAAGGTGCCATGCAGGGGGATTGTCTGCTCCAGTTCCCGTTCTCTCCCCTCTGTTGTCCCTGCCCGGCTTCCGTGTCTTTTAACTCTTATAAATAAAGCTGGTAACTGGACATTCTTTAGACTTGATAAAGTGCATGCTTGCGAATTGTGTTGCCACGTTTACCAGCTCTGCTTGCATTCCAAGGCCAGGGTCCAGCTTCCACCCCCACCCTGGTCCCGGTGACGTCACATGTGGAGTGCTGTGATCCCCGGACGGCTCAGCCACATACTGCAATTGAGCTGCTTTTCCTGCTTGGGTTCAGTGAGGAGCGAACGGTTCATTGCATTATCCTGGCTGCTACATTTTAGTGTCATCCTTACTTATGGCTTATTCTGCACCAGTAAAGGTATACCTCCTTAGGAGGTGAACATTGTTCTACTATACTCTTACAGAGCTGTTTTTTGGGGCTTATATATATATATATGTGTATATATATATATATATATATATATATATATATACAGTATATATAGATATCTTTACTGTAACTTAATAATCATTACTGAAAGTGAAATATATAGTTGAAAGTGTTTACGTGTTTTTTTATGTCTGTTCTCTAATTGCAAATTATTAGATGAGGAGGGGAGGTGGGGATGAGGAGAGGTCTGTGATCTTTGCAATGCATCAGAAATTAATTAGGTAGCGCTGACACCACGTGCTGTGGAATTCAAAGATGATAATGCACTGTGTTGTCAAGGAAAGGAGTAGAAGCACATTATATTTCTGGCACATATATTCTTCTGTACTTGGAGTGTCTTTAAAGGGGTGGAAAATGGGGAAATTTGCATACATTACAGAACTGTACTAAATGTGCTTTTTTCTATTTTGCACTAACGTGCTTTTTAAAATAATTTACCCCAGTACTCAGTTTACAGAATATATATGCAGAATTGGCCATTCAGCAGAGAATCTTTGCATATCAAACCAATCCATATATGGATATTCATGAGATTCAAAGGTGATGAATCCATGATTTTCCAAATTTGATCATCTTTAGACTAAGTTAATTAAGAGGAATTCAAAAAGCCTTTATAAAGCACTGAACAATAAAATATATCAAGGAAAAATTCCTTCCCTACCCCTAGTGGAATCAACATTCAAGGTACTGTATATCTAAACCCAGAACCAAAAATGTGGTATTTTTCAGCTGATTTATATTTCTTTTTAAGCACATTTTTGCAAGTCCAAAAAATACCTGTTGATCCCGTCAGAAATCCTTATAAAGTTCTATGGACTGAACTGGGGAACTTAAGCTTCCTCAGCTATCTTTTGTGAATTACAAAGTAAAATTCTCCTGTGTAACGGAGATGGGAAGATGTTTGTAGTCCAAGCTAGGAGAGCAGCCTATGGTGATAATGCTATAGACAATAGAAATTCTGGACGAACCCTCTGCACACTGCTATATACCCTTTCCAGCAAACTTTGCCATAAAAAAATAGGGATTTTTAGTTCACACAAATTGTAATACATGTGTAAGCTT